CATCTACAGATAATTTAAAGGTTTCGAGACTATTGGACTCTCTATTAGATTAGATAATTAAATGGAAAAAAATCAGTAACAAAATCAGTAACAAGATTTTTAAGCTTTTTTTTAAGCTCTTATTGATAAAAATTGTCTAAATCTGCGTGTTATCTAGTAAATAAAAGATTCAGCGGAAAAGAAAACAAAATAAAACTGATCTTATAACCAAAATCAATCAAATAAAAGCCAGTTTTAATTGATATTTCATTTTTTCTGTCTACGTGGGAGTGGGACAAATGCGACCTTTTTTTTGCGCACCTGGACATTTGCGCACCTTTTTTTCCGCACTTAGCCCATTAGCGCACCTTTTTTCGCGTTTTAAAAAGCTCTAAAAGCTAATATTAACCAATTTCTATTCCAAAAGTTGTTTTTCTACGTAATTTGAGGGTGTCGAATTCAAATTTTGGTATAACAGAGCTTGTGGAACCAATTTGAAAGACAAAACTAGGTCAAAACTAGCCGGCTAGGTCAAATTACAGAAAATTGTGTTTTCTCTTTGTATAACTCCGTTAGTTCGCTTCCACAAGCTCTGATATGTCAAAATTTCGATTCTACGCCCTCAAATTACCTAGAAAATCAACTTTTGGAATAGAAATCGGTTAATATTAGCTTTTAGAGCTTTTTAAAACGCGAAAAAAGGTGCGCTAATGGGCTAAGTGGAAAAAGGTGCGCAAATGTCCGGTGCGCAAAAAACGTCGCATTTGTCCCACTCCCGTCTACGTGACTTCTTGAAAATCAAATTTTGATTTTGAACCCCATTTTCCTCCAAAAAAAAACTCAAAAACACAAATTTTTACTTAACAAATCTCATTATTAGACTAAAATTTTCAATTCTGATTTAAAAAACGAACTAACTTTGTACTTATAAATGAGGAGATTAAGTTTTTCTTTGTTTTTTTTATAATTCCAATTCTCTTTATCATTATTTCATGTCTATTTCAGAGATCACTCGAAGATTTTCTTTTTTTTTTTGCGAATGAGAAAAATGAGACGAATTTCACGCCCTAATTGGAGGTCACACGAGTTCTTTTTTCACGAAAATTTTTCAGAGATCACTTGCAAAAGCAAAAACTGAAAGTTAGCAAGCAAATTAGCCAAAAATCTAAAAAATTGAAGAAAATTGAGTACAATAGCACTGAAAACTAGAGTTTTTCTGAAAAGCAACCTTTTAAAGCATACCTAAATCATTCAGCTATTGACATTTAGCTAAAAAAATGACATTTTATTCTTTTTCTTGTGGGATACGATGTTTTATGCAAAAATTTGTGACATTTACGTTCCTAGGTAAGGGGAAGGGGGGACTCCAAATCACTCCAAATCCAAATGAGAGCCTCACTTGTCCTCCAGGCAATCCCAAGGACCGCTCCTTCTCGGCAATAAAATGGATAAGCACAGGGGAGGACACATTTGCATACGAATAGACAAATCATTCAATAATAACATTAGTAACTAAAATATCAGTTTGGCTCGGAGCTGACCGACAGCAGTTTTACTCACTTAACAGAGAGTGACAACAGTTTTACTCACTTACTTATAAAGCAGCAATGAGATACAAGTTACCGTATTCTTTCTAATACTAATGCACCATGATCGTCGTCTAAACTCCTCGAGTATCGAGAACCGCTTATCAGAACCTATCGATGTGGGGTCGGAAAATGTAGCTGACGATGAGATCTTGTGGGGGATTTGAGTGTTGAGCTTCTGGGAAGACTTAGAAGCCGTAAAAAAAGTGATAAATTCATTTCAATAGTCATCAATTCAATCATCAGAATCCGCAAATTGCCTGTAAAATGGGCAGAAGTCGTCAATAATAATGGAAATTATTTGAAATGAATTGATGGTTTTATGTTGAATTTTCTTTTCCTTTTCCTCGAAACACATCAAACCGTTGCCCCGCAGATCAAGGCCTACAAAGTGTGTTTTCCCAATCCCAATTTGAAGGTCGAAATGGAGAAGGTTTGAAGGTCTAATCTTAAAACTACCGTATTTTCTCTAATAGTAGTGCACCCTGAGCGTCGTCTAAATTGCTCGAAATCTCGAAAAGCGCTTATCAGAACCTATCGATCGTCGGAAAATGTAGCTGACGATGAGATCTAGGGGAGGACTAGAGTGTTGAGCTTCTGCAAAAGCTTGGAACCCGTAAAATAGTCATCAACTCGGCTCGGCGTTGTGCACTACCATTAGAGAGAAGACGGTTTATAAAAATCTCGTTCAGATCAGTCAGCTTTTCCTCGAAACACATCAAACCGTTACCCGGCAGATCAAGGCCTACGATGTGTGTTTCCCCGACCTTCACATGGATCTCATCTCGATTTGAAGGCTGAAATGGAGAAGGTTTGGAGGTCTGATCTTAAAACTACCGTATTTTCTCTAATAGTAGTGCACCCTGAGCGTCACCTAAATTCCTCGAAATCTCGAGAACCGCTTATCAGAACCTATCGATGTGGGATCGGAAAATGTAGCTGACAATGAGATCTTGTGAGGGATTAGAGTGTTGAGCTTCTACAAAAGCTTGGAAACCGTAAAATAGACACCAACTAGGCTCGGTGCTGTGCACTACTAGACATGTGCCATCGGGTCGCCAAATGCATTTTAGCAAACGGCTTTTGTTTTCTAAAGCCTAAAATCACATTGTAGTCACGTTTTAGAAAAAAAAGCCGTTTACTAAAATGCATTTGGCAACCCGATGGCACATGTCTATGCACTACTATTAGAGAGGTCACGGTAACATTAACTACAGTATTGACAATAAAATTTGAATACTAGAAACGTGAGAAGCTAGATTTAGCTATCCCTGACAAGCAAGGACAATAAAAGAAGCAGAAATAAAGTCTTTATTAGTCTGGTTAAAAGAATCTGTGTGAAAAGTTAGCTGAAGATTTGAAGAGTGAACTCAGACTCAGCCCTGTTCTTTTATAGACAATTTCCAGACGAAAACAAACGCGTTGAACTTATTTACATCAAAATACACGGATTAGGATAGAAAATCAGTGCTTTTTAGTCATTAAGTCATGATTTTCGATTTTCCGGTGAAAAGTGTCCAAAGAACAAGGGATTTCGTGCAAATTACCCATACAAATTTCTCAGAGATCACATTTTCTTCAAAGAAAAATTGCGGGATTAGACCAAAGAACCAAAGATTTCATTGAGCGAGAAATTATAAAGTTTTAGCCAAAGATCTAGTTGAAATGAACTTAAACTGAAACACTTAAACTTGAACTTGAACTTAGACTTAAAACTGGAACTTGTAATGAATTGTAAAGTCAAAATTTGTATTGATAGCTTTCAATGTAAATGAGATATTTTCTAAGATTTTGTTTCTTTAGGTAAGGTGTATTTTGTCCTCATCTAAACGCTACCTTTCTGCCGCACTGAATTCTTCAATTACCTTATGAAAACGCGAGAATTTAGTACGTTTACAAGTGCATTTACAGCGTTGAACCACAAAGTACACAAAAAGTTTATTATGAAACTAAGCTCCGCTCCTTTTTTGCCAATGGCTGCGCACAGACGGACGGACAAACGGACAAACGAACAGACAAACGGGCAGACAAACGGGCAGACAAAAGCACAGACAAACGGGCAGACAAAAGCACAGACGGACGGACAGACGGACGGACAGACGAACGGACAGACGGACAGACCGACCTCAATTATACATACTATCTTCTCTCTAATAGTAGTGCACCACGCCGAGCCGAGTTGATGACTTTTAAGCGTTGATAAGCGCTTTTCAAGATTTCGAGGCAACGCTCAGGGTGCACGACTATTAGAGAGAATACGGTATATGGCTCTTTTTCTTTCCTACATTTAGCTTCTGCGAAAAACTTAGAAACCTAAAAATACTAAAATAGTGATCAACTCTGCTCGGCGGGGTGCACTACTATTAGAAAGAATACGGTATGTGTTACGTCCGATCTAGACTGATTTCTTGATCGAACGTCCGATCTAGAGTGAAGTGAGGTCAAGAGGTCAAAACGTTTGATCTAGAATCAAGCCGATCACTCTAAAACTAAGTCTAAGGGATAGCCAAATCTGGCTTCCCACGCTTCTAGTATTCAAATTTTATTGCCAATACTGTAGTTAATGTTACCGTGACCTCTCTAATAGTAGTGCTACCGGCGAGCCGAGTTGGTGACTATTTTACGGCTTCTAAGCTTTCGCAGAAGCTCAACACTCAAATCCCCCACAAGATTTCATCTTCAGCTACATTTTCCGATCCCACATCGATAGGTTCTGATAAGCGGTCCTCGAGATTTCGAGGAATTTAGGCAACGCTCAGGGTGCATTATTATTAGAGAGAATACGGTAGTCATTCAGATGATATGAATTTTCATTAAAAAAAAATATTAATCTTTTTGGTTTCTGGATTGTTGCAAAGGCAAGGTCAAAAGCCGGGTTCAGTTTGTCTTGATCTGCCTGGTCTTGTTTAAGTATCTAGACTTGGACTCTGAACTGGTCTGGCTTACAGATGCTAGGATCCGAGTTGATGACTATTTTGCGGTTTTTAAGTTTTTGCAGAAGCTCAACATTCCAATCCCCCACAAGATCTCATCGTCAGCTACATTTTCCGATCCCACATCGATAGGTTCTGATAAGCGGTTCTCGAGATTTCCAGCAATCTAGGCAACAATCTTCACCCATCTATTCAATATTTATTCAATCAACTTTTCTCTTTCAAAGTCTTGAAAATATCTCCTCCGGCAAGCGTCCACCCATTCCATTTCCTTTATGGAGAACAGATTTTCCAAGTTGAGATCCCATCTTCAGAGCAATATTCTAAATATTATTCTTGACAAAATTGGTAATTCGTAATTGAAATTTTTTCAATTTTTACAATAAACTTTGACTGTCATTGTTATTTTGTCATTGTCATTGTCATTGTTATTTTCAAAAGTGTTCAGAAGGTTCAGAAGGTACAGAAGGTTCAAAAGATTCAGAAAGTTCAGAAGATTTCATTCAACCTGCATATATTTTGGTAATTCCATCAATTCAGTGAACTTCTCAATGGCTACTGATTCGCGACGATACCGCATTTTCAAGTGCTGAAAGGAAGAGCTAAAAGAGCAACTCAAAGTGATCACCTCTAGCAAAGTATGACAATATTTGTTGAAGGCTTTTCTAGCGACTTCAGCGCTCTTCTCCGTAAGGCCCATACCTATTTTTTTTGTTTGGAAATTTGAATTTTCTTTACCAGATGAGAAAAGAATGATATTCTTCATTAAGAGAAACTCCTCATCACCCATTTGCCCTCTTTTCATACATGGAATAACAATCGTCATCCCGAAATGAGTGTAGAAATAGTACGAGTGAGCGTGGCTAAAAAAAAATAAAGAATTCAGTGCGTAGATTTGATCTGATCAACTCTCAAACTTTCAATTTAACTTTAAACACTCTAATCTTTTCTTTGACATCACTGATTTTTAACTACCGTAAATACTGTAATAGTACCTCACCCCCATAATGACGGTGCGGAGTGTTGTGTAGTCTAGCTTTGAACGAGTTTTTCTCGACACTGGTTTAGGCTACAATGCGCGTTTTGGTATGAAAAAATAGCTGAAATTCAGCGCTATTTTTTGATACCTAAACGTGCATTGTAGCATAAACCAGTGTCGAGAAAAACGCGTCCAAAGCTAGACTACACGACACTCCGCATCGTCATGGGACTGGGGTCCAATCACAGTATTCACGGTATGCCTTACTGTGTTTGAAATTGTTTATGCAGCATTGATGAGTCGAATTTCATACTCCCCAAAGTCGTCAACATTCCATCTTTATAGTCATACTTGTGCGTGTAATAGAAATTATTGAAGAGAATTTGACGGAGAACTTGACGAGCGAAGAAGTTTATCTGAAATTCAGCGAAGAAGTTTATCTGAAACTCTTTTCTAATGGAAAAAGAGCAAGTTTTATACTTGATCCACAGCGTCTAGATCTCTGAATTCAGGCACGGATCGACACCAATCGGCAAAAAGAACGACGGATCGACAGAAAATTCGGCCGACCATTTGTAGCCAGCTAGCTTCAGGGATCAAAGGTTTCAACTCAGGCCGCATCGCTATCTGAAAAGATTTTCAAGTATTCTTTTCAACACTTGAAAAGTGGCTGAATGGCTTTGTGCAGTGGCTGAATGGTTAGAAGTCTTGTATTCTAGTTAGGAGGTGTGCTGGGTGGTTAGAAGCCTTGGCTTCTAGTTAAGAGATGTGCTAAATGATTAGAAGTCTTGTAATCTAGTTAAGAGGTGTGCTGAATGATTAGAAGTCTTGGATCCTAGTCAATTCTAGATCACGAGTTCAATCCTATCCGCTAGAAAATTGAATCCTTTCTATAGGTTTTTCTCTGCAACATCTTTAGGATATTAGGTTAATGTGAAGTTGTGTATGCTTTGTATTCATGTTGAATTCAAAGTCATTCTTGTTGAGCATTAAGTTGAGATCATTTTGTTCAAAGTTTGTACAGAAACTTCCTTGTCATTGCCAAATTCATTCATGTCATTGCCAAATATTGCCAGGCTCATTTTCTTGTTTTTAAAGAGTTCAAACAAACGTTTTAAAACCAAGAATTGATCTATTTCGTTCGAATTCTAGATCTAGTTCTCATTGCTGGTTATCTCGAAGTTACTTGGCTGAAAATGTTCACAATAGAGATGAATCTGTTTAAAACAGGGTTTTCACCTCGTTTCTACACTAGGACTACTATAAAATTAGCATAAAACTAAATTGACATATTGTTTTCCTAATAAAAAGCTATATTTAACTAACCGGCACTCGAGGACAGGCAACTAATGGATTCTGCAGAATTTGAGCCAGTGACACATCCATTGAAAAAGAGAAGTCCACCTCGACGGGTCGATTCAGGTCATCGTTCATGATAATTCTATAAATAACTATAGATATTCTATAGATCTATAGAATATCTATAGAATATCTATAGATCCATAGATCTATAATCTAAATATCTATTGGGTTGGTGAATTGTCTGCCGGATTATCTATAGAAACTGCCGGACTTTGAACTAAAATTAATTCAACATCAAATCATCAATTCATTCCAAATAATTTCCATTATTATTGACGACTTCTGCTCATTTTACTGGCAATTTGCGGATTCCTCTTTCGTAGTAGGATTCTGGTTTTGAATCGAAAAACTTCCAAAGCCAATTTTTGACTGCTTCTTCCGAATCGAAGCGTTCTCCCGCAAGCTTATTACCCAAGATCCGGAATAAACAGTAATCAAAAGGGGCGAGGTCCGGACTGTATGCGGAAGGCGCCAAAAGTTCTCAAACAAGGCTGTTTATTTTAGAGCGAGTCAGTTTTGCAACATGAGAGCGCGCGTTGTCGTGGAGGAGGACGAACTTTGACTTGGAGGGCCTATTCTTCTTCAGGGATTCATTCACCTTTCCCAACTGTTCACTGATTGCATTAACGGTCGTCTTGCTATCCGGCAACTCCCAGTACAACACTACCTCCATATCCCAGAAAACGTAGAGCATAAACTTCTTCTGGTGCAAATCGGGCTTAGGGTCACTTTCGGTTCGTTGGTGAATTGAAAACTGCGGGACTTTGAACAATTAATTCAACATAAAACCATCAATTCATTCCAAATAATTTCCATTATTATTGACGACTTCTGCTCATTTTACTGGCAATTTGCGGATTCCTCTTTCGTAGTAGGATTCTGGTTTGTGTGTGAGACAAGTGTGAGACTTAAAAATTGAGGACTGGAGATGTCCCAGTTTGAGCACTCTCTTCAAAAGAAACCCATTTTGGTGTCAATATAAAAGTTGTAGAGAATCAAAAATTAGACTTATAGCCAAATTTCCAAAAAGATACAATTAGTAGTTTCGCTTAAAATGCAAGTTTTGTGAAAATTCGTAAATTTCGCATTTCTTGAAAACCGGCTTTTGAAACGTTCTGAGGATTTGGATAGAAGCTTAACTTTTGATTCTCTACAACTTTTCTATTGACACCAAAATGGGTTTCTTTTGAAGAAAGTGCTCAAACTGTGACATATGACAATAGCCCGCAGTTTTCAATTCACCAACCCAATATAAATATCTTTATAATTGCTCACTCTTGTGTGTAAATCATATCCTTCAGCAAATCGATCGCCTCTTTCTTTCGGAAACCACTCAACGGCATGCTGAAGACACGAGCGGCTAGCTGTATTTCTCTCTAAATTTAAAAAAATATTCAGTTAACCAATCGTATAAAAATATAGATAAATAAAATATAGATATATAGATTAAGATTGTAGATTTATGTAGATTTAAGTGCACTGGAAGAATTGAAAAGATCAGTACAGCTGATTATACATTTCGAGTGTCCCCCCCCCCTGTGTCCTCCTTTTGCCCCCTAAGTGTCCCCCTCAAAGTGTCCCCTTTTTGTCCCCCTAAAGTGTCCCCCTAAAATGCCCCCCCCCTTAGTATCCCCCTAAATTTTTCCTTTTAAGATGTTTCGAGTTCGATGCATTTGCCGATCATTGAGTTTAAAAAGTTAAAGCACATTTGGAGAGCAAAAAGTTGTGATTTGATATGAAAAAAAATAGGGGGATACTAGGGGGGGACACTTTACGGGGACAAAAAGGGGACACTTTGAGGGGGACACTTAGGGCGGCAAAAGGGGGACACAGGGGGAGGGGGACACTCGAAATGTATACAGCTGATTCCATTTAACTAGAAATCTACAGCACATTTTAACTACAGTAATCTATTTGATATGGATAAATATTTGAAAAAATAAGTAAATAGTAATTTTTAATGTAATTTAATGCAAAAAAATAATGCTTTGATAAGTTTACGAAAATTTTCAAAGGAAAACTTTTTCAAAAGAGTATTTTTAAAGTTTAAAAGTTAAAGAGTTCAAAATTATATCTTTTTTAAGAGAAATTAAATCAAAAATGTAACTTTCTAAGTTAAAGAAGTAACTTTCCAAGTTAAAGAAGTAATTTTCTAAGTTTCTAACTTCTAACTAAGTTCATATGCCTAAATACTTGTGTCAATTATAGTTCTACTGAAATTTGTAATCACATTTCTATTTCCTTACAATTTGTGGGATGTTTAGTGTTCTCGTGAAGCACGATTTCACGTTGAAACTAGCTGATTTTTGTAATTTGTAATGTATCGCGAGCTTAACGCTTCTACAGCTTCTACAAGGCAACATCTTCTACAAGGCAACAGCTTCCACAAGGCAACAGCTTCCACAAGGCAACAGCTTCTACAAGGCAACAGCTTCTACAAGGCAACAGCTTCTACAAGGCAACAGCTTCTACAAGGCAACAGCTTCTACAAGGCAACAGCTTCTACTCAACAGCTTCTACAAGGCAACAGCTTCTACAGCTTCTACAAGGCAACATCTTCTACAAGGCAACAGCTTCTACTCAACAGCTTCTACAAGGCAACAGCTTCTACAAGGCAACAGCTTCTACAAGGCAACAGCTTCTACAAGGCAACAGCTTCTACTCAACAGCTTCTACAAGGCAACAGCTTCTACAGCTTCTACAAGGCAACAGCTTCTACAAGGCAACAGCTTCTACTCAACAGCTTCTACAAGGCAACATCTTCTACAAGGCAACAGCTTCTACAAGGCAACAGCTTCTACAGCTTCTACAAGGCAACAGCTTCCCTTGCTGGAACCGAACGCTACATGAGCCCAGAAGCTTATGGAGATCACCAACCTGCTTACAAGATCTCTCAGCTCTTCGTGCACACAATCGACGGGCTTCAACTCATAAATACCGTTCCATAAGTCGAAGAATAACGCCGTTCGGTAAACAACGATCATTATCTTATTAGCAATTAATAACCTTAGATAAGCTCACTCAACTCAACTCAACTCTGACTTGTATTCTGTGGACTTTATTCTGTGGGTGACCATTGAAAGGAGGTGGGCTTGAAATAGCTGATAAAAGATTTAGTGTTTAGATTAGTTTTTGGACATTACCAACATTTTGAGCATTTTAACTATCTGGCGTTTTTCTTCGACTTTTGGAACGGTATTTATGAGTTTGAGCCCGTCGATTGTGTGCACAAAGAGCTGAGAAATCTTGTAAGCAGGTTGGTGATCTCATCTAATCATCCCAGAAAGAATTCGACTGAATTTTTCTGATTTTTCATATAGATTTCTTAAACTACAGTAATCTGTAATCAATTTTCGTCTTTTAAAGTGACTCACAGAGTCCGGACAAGCAACACTGGAGGAGCTGCGCGGTGAACAACTCCGCTCCTCGTTCAGACAATTTCTTGATGTTGATGCATGCAATTCGACTGTGTTAGCGGACTGAAACAGAGATTTTCTTTAGAATTACATAATCTTTCTATATACAAAGGTTTTACGAAATATTATAGCTTTTTAAAACGCACCAAATCGATGATTTTCCCTCTACCCGCTTTCCCGCCTGTCCACACCTCCATTTTTGCTCGTTTTTCTCTCAGATTACAGCCGGATCGACGAGCTGTTACTGAAAATATTAAAAAAATCTATAGAAATTGATTTAAACAAACAAACAAACAAACAAACAAACAAACAAAAAAACAAAAAAACAAACAGACATCAGTTTTACAATCTTAAACTTTCTCCTTACTTTCCGGGATCATTCCCGCTTGAATGCATTTTTCGTAGCGACACGTTGCACATTTCAATTTGCCTAAAAGTTGCAGTATTCGTATTAGATTTGGAAACTTTGATGTGAACATTAATAGCCATTAATAATATCAAAAAAAGCCATATCATAGCCAATTTCACTTCAATCTGCTCGTCTTTAATTTCAATCGATAGAAAATGAAATTCTGCGTCAATTGATGATAAAATCAAAAAGATTCGAGTGAAATTCGCGAAGATATTGCATTCTTTCGTTGCACCTCTATTAGCGTCCGCACCGAAAATTCTTAAATCGAAATTCTATGCAAATTTTCAGCCATTCCAATTGCGATAAGAGTCAAAAGTGCCCAATTTACCAAATCACTAAATTACCTGGTCCTTTAAAATTTTGTGTAACACAAAGCTTCAGATTCTTGCATGCAGGCACTTTGGCGCCGGTTGTGGTGATACGGAGGAAGAAATTCTTGCAACTTCTAAAAGAAGAGACATTGATTACAATTGATTTACAATTGTAAATTTAAAAAAATCATTTTTACCTGAATCACCGTTAGATTATATACCGTAAATACTGTAATTGGACCCCACCGCCATAATGACAGTGCGGAGTGTTGCGTAGTCTAGCTTTGGACGCGTTTTTCTCGACACTGGTTTATGCTACAATGCGCGCCTAGGTATCAAAAAATAGCTGAAATTCAGGGCTATTTTTTGATACCAAAGACGCATTTTTTGAAAGTACGGGCGCTTTGAAAAAAGTGAAAAAAAGGTGCGAAGTGTTGCGTAGTCTAGCTTTGAACGAGTTTTTCTCGACACTGGTTCATGCTACAATGCGCGCTTAGGCATCAAAAAATAGCCCTGAATTTCAACTATTTTTTGATACCAATGACGCATTTTTTGAAAGTACGGGTGCTTTGAAAAAAATTAAATACTAAAAAAACTTTTGCGACTACGCGACTGTACGAGCGGGGTGGGGTACTATTACAGTTTTTACGGTAATTGTTAGTGCAGTTTGGATAATTTTAACAAACGAAAAAGGCAAAATAAAAGCACATACGCACAAACGATGGCTCCGTAGTTGCGTGAAGCTGGCACACCATGGCAAACACGGCATTTCTCGTTTTTCGCCGCTGTCAGATCAACGATTTCCTCATTTTCTTCCGTAGATACGTGCTCGTCTTTCATTTCTGCAAGAATTTAGCCAAAAAATTGTGTACTTTGTGCTCAAGCTAAACGCACTCTTTCTGGCGCACTAATTCAGCATTACAGAAGATGAACCTGCGAGAAAAATGGGCAATTCAGTGCGCCAGAAAAGAGATATTTTAGAGCACAAAGTACACGAGTTTAAAAAATTCAAAAAATGAGCAATAGATAAAAATTTACATTTAAAGCATAAAAATAAATTCTTGGTTTTATTTGTGATCAAATCTTGTAGGAAACTTTGTTTTATTGAGCTCTAAGAATCAAAACAAAAAAAAAAAAGTAGCGTTGATCTTTGTTTCGTGAAAGGTTACAGAGACAAATTGGGGAGAAAAATGTCTGAAAACACTTGGAAAAGGAAAAAAAATTAGGATTTTTCATTTGAAAAGGGGAAATAGGAAAAGAATTAATTGAAAAGAGACTGAATAAATAAATAAATATAAATCCTTTCTTTCTTTTATTAGTTTCAATCAAACAGCTGACTAGGGTCTAAATTTGAAACTTGGGCAATTGAACCGGATAGCTTTACTATTACTTGGCAGATTTGGTTAATCTTTATAGATTCCTTGCGCGGATGTGCATCATCATTTTCTCGGATCACTCTTTGCGGATGGGGAAAATAATCTAACCTTAGACTTGGGTAATTAAACCGAGATCGGTGATCTCTGTTGAGATCTCGGTCGGCTATCCGGAAGGGCCGTGTGCCAGATGCCGCTTTTTTCTTACGAGACACACGAAAGGTACACACAGCGTTCCTCACGGTGAGGAAAACTGTATGTACCTTTAGTGTGTCTCGTAAGAAAAAACAGCATCTGGCACACGGTGCTTTTAGATAGCCGAGAGGGACCGACTATCTCGGTTTAATTACCCAAGTTTGAGGTTGCAGCAATATCAGGTCTTTGCCAAGAATATCTTCAGTAAGTCTTGAGTCTTGAGAACGCGTTTCCGATAGAAAATTTGAAAAATACTAGAATTAACTAAAGATTTGTCTAATTTTGCTCAAAAATAGTGGAAAGGAAGTAGACTTTCGAATCGATTTCGGGGAAATGAAAAAAAATGTGGTTGAAAAGTGAGAAATTTTTTCGCTTTCTTTGCACGTAATCCGGTCCGTTTTATGTACGCAAATTTTTTACCAGCACTCTATTTTCTGTAATCTTTCAAAAAGAAAAGAAATTTTTAGAGTTTGTGCAAACGAAAATCAAAAAATGACTGAATATCTTTTAAAAGCTATATTACTAAAAGAATATTCAGTTAAAGTAATATAGCTTTTAAAAGATATTCAGTTGATTCAATTTCAATTCATTTGCATTTATTTAACCCAAAATGTACCCAATTTCTGAAAGCTTTTAAACGAGCAATTATCTGAATTAGGCACAAAAAATTGGAGCCGAATATAGCCGAATATAGCCGATATTTCGCGTACATACTGCACGGGCGCTATTTTAATCCATTCGTACAAAAAAAGAGCAAAAAAGGCATTGCAGCTTAAGAATTCGCAAAACTACAAGAGACACAACTTCTTTTTATTTTTCGGATCATTTCCGGATCAACTTCTTTGTAATTTAAATGGAAATGGATGAAATTCGCTTTTAGAACTCGCCCAGCTGGCTTTTTTCACGTTCACTTTACACGGATTCATCATGAAATTATCAAGGAAATTTTTGAGATTTTTTGATAGATTAAATGAATTTAAGAACTATCGTAATCCTAATTTTATCCAATCATTTTTGTTATCAGAGAAAAGAGTAGGTGAAGAGTGGGAACGGTGACGATGCTGATCCTTAATGAACATTTCAAGGAATATTTGGCTTGAAATGTTCATTAAGGCTTAAGCCTAAGCCATAGCTAGCTAGTTACTTAAAGAATTTGAGTTGAAGTTTCAACTTTAGTGCATCCCGGAAACGCGTTCGTTTCATGAGATAAACTTTCTTGTCTTTCGGGGACTTGGTGCCAATGCTAACCTCAAACTGATGAAGGTAATTAAACCTTGGGTAATTAAACCGAGATGGCAGAGCTCTGTCCTTCTATGTGAAAGGTTCATGTGCCAAATGCCACTTTTTTCCTAGGAGACATACAAAAGGTACACACAGCATCGCCTCTTTACCTACTCTTTTCTCTCATAACAAAATTGATTGGATAAAATCGATTGCTGGATAATTAGGATTACAATAGTTCTTAAATTCATTTAATCTATCAAAAAATATAAAATTTCCTTGAAAATTTCATGATCAAACTTCAGAAAACTATATTCTAGAATGCAAGAATTTCAGAAAAGATTTCTGCTTTTTTGTATAAAAAGGATAGAGGCGATTTTCTTCGAATGAGGTAATGAGGTCCTTTTTTTTCTCTTTTCTCCAAAAAAATTCAAAATTGAGTTCAAAATCCAATGGATCACGTCAAAAAAAGAGAAAACAGTATGTACTCTGTCCAGCCAAGCGCTAAAATTGGCTTGTGTTTTGTGAAAAAGGCCTTTAATCTCAGGGTTGGAAAAGAAAGTTGCGAAAATCGTGTAAAGACCAGAATCTGGTGCACTGAAAGTTTGGCTTGTTCAGTGAAAAGGCGAAGTTCAGCTGAGTTCAGCGAGTACGGTAAGTTCCGTCAAGTGAAAACCCTTTATTCATCATTTTTTTTAAAGTCTTCGGAAAAAGTCGAGTGGCAAAATCCCTCCAATCCCTTGAACTTGAACCATCACCATTCGATTGTACTCGGGGATCATCTTTTGGTGGAGAATCTGAAAGATTTTTCATGAAAGAATAACGACTGCGCGTAATTTTTATTCATTTGTACATCGGGAAAGCGTTCCAAAATTGTGATTTATTTGTGGGATGAAACTGGCGCTAACTTCAAACTTGGGTAATTAAACCGAAAGCAGTGGACCCTGTCGCGCTATGGGTGTAGACCGTGTGCCAGATGCTGTTTTCTCTTAAGAGACACACAAAAGGAACACACAGCTTCCCTTGTGTGTACCTTTCGTGTGGCTCGTAAGGAAAAATGGCATCTGGCACACGGCCCTTCTAGATAGGCGACAGAGATCATTGATTTCGGTTGAATTACCCAAGTCTAAGGTTGAGATATTGTCGCCAACACCTCTCTGTCTCTGGATCAGTGGAGGTCGTGTGCCAGATGCCGTCTTTTCCTACGCGACGCAAGAAAGGTACACACAGCTTTCCACCGCGGTGATAGGGCGACAGAGAACCGCCATTTTGGTTTAATTCCCCAAGCCCCAGATAGCATTAATTTTGTCGAAGGCAAAGAGTGTCCTTGTTGCGGTAGGGAAAGCTATATGTATCTTTCGTGGGTCTCCTAGAAAAGAGGGATCTGGCACACGGTCCTTCCATATAAGGCGACAGAGACATCCGATTTCGATTTAATTACCCAAGTTTGAGTTTAGCAACAACTCCAAGACTTTTCAAAGTGCCTTGAGAAAATTTTGGAACACGTTCCCGATTCGAAATACAAAACAAGAAAAAAAAGCAGTTCTTGCAATTGTCACCTGTAAATGCTTCGGTATCTCCATCAACGCCACAAAATACTCGATAGCAAGCGATTCATCCTTGAATCGGGACTTTAAATGCTAAAAATTAGAAAGTAGACTTTTGTTCAATGCTAAATCCCACCTCTATCAACAGATTACTGTATTTGTTATGCGCTTTTTTCATCACATCTCCACTTTTCTCTTTTAAACCGACACCTAAACTCATTTTTTAAAATTTCTCATCAATTTTCAACTCACCCGCCGAGAAGATCACAATATTTTTCATCAAAACAAACTCTTCATCTCGCATTTGAACTTTCCGAATTATTGGAATGATTTTATTTACACCGTAATCCATTAGAAACGAGTAGATTTTCGTGATTCTAAATGGTGTTTCTTACAGTAAACCTTTCCTTATATAATACCCCTCAAACATCGGTAAATTCTCGAATCTCAGCTTCATTCCCATTGTCATCAATAAACCATCATTGTATCCAGTTTTATATGTGTAATAGTAATTGTTAAAGAAACATTGACAAAGAAGACGTTTCGCGAAGAGATTAATCTGAAATAAGATTCTTTTGTTTTCAACAAATCTTCTTAGATTTCTACCGTACTCTTCTAAAGTCTAGTAGCTAAGGTACGAATCAAAGCTTTATCTAATAAAGTACTTACAGTACTTACAGGACTCCTGAGTATACAATACTTACAATACTTACAGTACTGTAAGTATTGTATACCCTGGATCTAGCTAGATGTCGTTTTTCAATTTGAATCCGAAAAAGGATCTACCGGACTCTTCAGCTAGATAATAGACTTCTTAAAGAGTGTTCATAGAACTGTTTCAATCAATTGCATCTCTAGGACAGAAAGATCAAGCTAGGCCAAAATTTGAACTAATTTGAAGTCCTTATTTTGACTTTAAGCTCACTCGATCGTTCTCCTCTAATTCCCAAAACTCTTTCACTCCTCGACACCAATCAGCGAAGAGAACGAGTGATCGAGTGAATGAACGAGCGCTCATCGTTGGCAAAAGATGTGGAGGGATTTGGAGATCAGCCGTTCGATTGTATCCTATCTAGATTTGAAAATAAACTAGTCAAGAAGGAATTGGAAAGAAAAAGTCAATTCCTGGAGAGGGGATTGACGTTTTGAGATTGACGTTTTGACGATGAACCCTCGACTTTTTGTTTTCCGGACTCTAACCTCTAACTCTTTCCGGACTCTAACCTGAGCTATCCATAGCTATCCACTGAGCTATGGATAGCTATGGATAGCTCAGTAAGGTCCTGAATAGCCACTGAGCTATGGATAGCTCAGTGGCTATTCAGGACCTTACTCGCAAAGAGAAAAAGAGAAAGACAAGGGGGAAGAAAGAAAGAAGGAGATATAAGCAAGCAATCACTGGTGCGTAATCTAACCTCGATTTTAGACGACTCACCGGAACTCTTGAGCATACGGTAGCCGGATTGTTAAGGGCATCGTTTAGGGTTCGATCAGTGAAATATGAGAAATCCAATATTACTGAATTTGCTGGATCATCATTAATGATTAACCTGAAAAGATTTTTGGTTTATGATTGATTTTAGACTGATTTTGGACTGATTTTAGAATGATTTTGGACTGATTTTGGACTGATTTTGGTTTCTTGTTGTTTCAAGAGATCAAAATTTCACCTACATTTGCAAATTGACTAGATCTCTAATCGCATTCGTTGAGGAATCGATGAGAAACGGTTTTGATGAAACTTTTGTCGCTAATTGAAATTCCTTCACCGAAGTTGAGCCTTCAAAATTCGTTGAGCTCAAGAATTTTCGTTTACGCAACGGTTGGAAATTCTAAAGCTTGCAAAAATCCCAGATCAACTAGTATTTAGCTAGGAATTCTTGGATAACAATTACAGTACCTGTTTATACATAGATGTACTTGGCACAAGCTGCAATTCATCTTCGTCATCCGAATAAAGTCTCAGCCTTGTCCTCCCTCTGGGCTTCAAGCCAACTTGAGCTCTCTTCTCTCTCAGCTTGCATCCCATTCGACGAGCCGTTACTAGGAATGGAAAATTCCAACTCTAACCTAATTCCACCATCAATTTCTTAGCTGATTCTTAGCCGATTACTCTGAAATTTATCTACAAATAGAAATCGACAGCTTATGGACAAAATTTTAAAGAAATCAATCAAAAAAACCGTCGAGAAGTGCAATTAGTTTCGGATTGGAATTTTTCCGATTTTACTGAACTTGATTAACCAATGAAATAAAAGATAGATCTGACTATATAGCCGACTGGCTAAAAGCTCTGTAACTTAGTCGGAAGGTCAAGGGTTCAATCCCAACGGCTTATCTCCCTAAGATTATTTCTTTTCCCATATATGTTATGTCCGATCTAGAAATCCGTCTCATCTAGAAATTCTTCCGATCTAGAATCAAGCCGATCACTCTAAATTAAACGTCCTATCCAGACTTAGATTTAGAGTGATCGGCTTGATTCTAGCTCCAACGTTTGACCTCACTTCACTAGATCGAACGTCCGATCAAGAATCAGTCTAGATCGGACGTAACATATACCGTATTCTCTCTAATAATAGTGCACCCCGGCGAGCCGAGTTGATGCTTATTTTACGGTTTCCAAGCTTTCGCAGAAGCTCAACACTCAAATCCCCACTAGATCTCATCGTCAGCTACATTTTCCGACCCCACATCGATAGGTTCTGATAAGCGCTTTTCGAGATTTCGAGTAATTTAGACGACGCTCAGGGAGCATTAGTATTAGAGAGAATACAGTATATGGGTCTTTTTCTTCTCTATATTTAGGGCTTAAGGATTGTGCTTGTGTATTGTTTTGTGCTACATTATTTGTGTGAATAAGTGTGTATTTTAGAAAGCTTATCAAGAACAGCGAGCCATGCAAATGTAAATTCCCCGGGAGCACCTATGCCTAATGCATAATGCAAATTCACTGGTTTACGCCAGAGCCAGGCAAAAGACTGACCAGGTTTAGGGTCAAAGATAGAGTCAGATTTTGCCATCTCATTCACGAACTCAAATCAAGGCTAGTCAGCCATCTGGATGTTAGTTTCCCTAGTTTTCCCTTTCTCCCTAATCACCTATTTTCAATCAACAACTCACTTTCCGGTATCATCCCCACCTCGATGCATTTCTCGTAGCGACAAGGAGTGCATTTGGCTTTCCCTAAAAAAAATTCCTGAGAAAATCATTTAGATTTAGACTTCTTGTTTAACCAAAAGGAGATTTTAAAAGTTCTACCAGCTCCCCGAAAGTTTTGCTGACTGCAGAGATGAAGATTCTTACACTCGCCTACTTCCACGCCGGCAGTGGTAACCCGAAGAAAGAAGTTTTTGCAGCTTCTGTAATGAAAAATCGTTTTATTCAATCATAGCTTAATATGGCTGGCACAAAATCATTCTTTAATCAAATCCCTGTTCATTCTTTGATCAAATACCTAAATTAGCAATCATAAGAAGTCAGTGTCTTCAATTGGAAAATTCTAGTAGCTTGTTATTCAGTAGCTTGTTATTTAGTTGCCTTTTGTGACTTCCAGCTTGTTGTTTAAGCAAAAGGAAAAGTGTATTTTATAATGAGAAATTCGAAATAAACTCACGCACACGTGATCGACCCATAGTTTTTCGAGGCAGGCACTCCGGCACAAACTCGGCATTTCTCAACGCTCACTCCTGTCAAATCAACGATCTCTTCTGTCTCAAAATCTTTATTTTCTTGCGGCATTTGAGCTAAAAAATGTTAAAAATTGATGAAAACTTTTAATTCAATCAAAACCAATAAAAGAATGAATAAAAAGACGGATTTTTAAGCTACGAAAAACTTGTGAAAATGAAAATTGATGTGAGAATTGATCAAATAAACTTAAATCAAATAAATCCAAGTAGAACAATGACTGTTAAAGGCTATAAATGAACTATAAATTACTTCTTGACATTTAGAATCGTTTCTCTTTTTTATCTTTATCTTATCACCAATCAATCATCATTAATTTCTTCTTTTTGAAGGCCTAATCTATCATCAAATCTTAATAAAGTAAGTCAAAAGAGAAAAAAAAGGGAAATGTAATGAATTTTGTGTTAAAAATATAAACACATCCTTTCTGGAACAGTGAATTTCTCATTTTTCCCAACATCGAATCATTGCTGATAGAAAAATGAAGAATTGAGTGCGTTTCCAAGTCAAAGTATTGGGTTGGTGAATTGAAAACTGCCGGCTATTGTCATATGTGACAGTTTGAGCACTTTCTTCAAAAGAAACCCATTTTCGGGTCAATGGAAAAGTTGTAGAGAATCAAAAAACAAGCTTATATCCAAATTTTCAGAGCGATTCAAAAACTGGTCTTCAAGAAATGCTAAATTTACGAATTCTCACAAAACTTGCATTTTAAGCGAAACTACTAAGTGTATCTTTTTGGAAATTTGGATATAAGCTTGATTTTTGATTCTCTACAACTTTTCTATTGACACCAAAATGGGTTTCTTTTGAAGAAAGTGCTCAAACTGGTCCTGGATTTTTGAGTCTCTCCAGTCCTCCTTTTTTGAGTCTTACACTTGTCTCACACACAAACCAAGTTCCTACTACGAAAGAGGAATTCGCAAATTGCCTGTAAAATGGGCAGAAGTCGTCAATAATAATGGAAATTATTTGGAATGGTTTGATGGTCTTATGTTGAATAAATTTTAGTTCAAAGTCCCGTAGTTTTCAATTCACCAACCCAATAAAACATTTGATTCGCGCCCCGCCCTTTTGCCATTGGCAATCCAACTTTAAACTCAAATTTCTCGGCCTTGGGCTTTTCAATTTAAATAGTTTTTATAAGAATCGATAGAGAAATACTTAGCGCATCTAATGATACCAAGAATATTTAAATTGACCAGCTTAACACCAAGATATCTAAGCTCAAAGTTAGATTGCCAATGGCAAAGGGGCGGGGCGTGTATCAAATGCTCGTTAACCTTTTTAAAATGTCAAAAACGGTGTATAATCAAAATGAGTCATTCAAAATGCGTAATATTCTAATAAACACATACAAATCAAAATCCTACCACGAAAGAGGAATCCGCAAATTGCCTGTAAAATGGGCAGAAGTCGTCAATAATAATGGAAATTATTTGGAATGGTTTGATGGTCTTATGTTGAATAAATTTTAGTTCAAAGTCCCACAGTTTTCAATTCACCGACCAACCGAAAGTGACCCCAGGCCCGATTTGCACCAGAAGTTTATGCTCTGCGTCTTTTGGGATATGGAGGGAGTGGTGTACTGGGAGTTGCCGGATAGCAAGACGATCAATCAAGACGAAGCAAGACGACCCTTAATGCAATCAAATACAGTGAACAGTTGGGGAAAGGTGAATGAATCCCTGACGAAGAATAGGCCCTTCAAGTCAAAGATCGTTCTCATCCACGACAACGCGCGCCCTCATGGTGCAAAACTGACTCGCTCTACAATAAACAGCCTTGGTTGGGAACTAAAATTTATTCAACATAAGTTGAATAAATTTTAGTTCAAAGTCCGGCGGTTTTCAATTCGCCAACCAAATACAATTGAAATTCAATGCTTATAACAAAAATGAATCAATGGCTGTTTTTTTGATGAATTCAGACCAAAATCTAGTCTTCGTCTCTCGATTTTCCAAAGAAACAGATGACAACAAAGTTCAGTTTTTTTTCAGTTTTACAGTTTCTCTCATTTACAAGCTATAGAAGTGATGTTCGGAAGAAGAAAACGAAGAAAAAAAAAATGAATTAAAGCTTTGGGTAGATAAAAATAATCTTATAAATGAAGAAATATGGAAATTTTAGCAAAATCTGAAAAGCTAACTCGATAAAAGCTATTAAGAAAGTTAAAATTCAAGAAATTTTCTCTCAAATCTCTCGAAAGTTCAATAAGTTCTTATAAATGAAAAAAATAGTTTGATAAGTTCTTAGAAATAAATAAAAATTGAAATTTTAGCGAATTTGTCAAATATTCAGCGATTATCCAAATTTCTTAAACAAAAAAAAAACGGTTTTAAGCTGTTTTTCAAAATTTTCTGATTAAATATAACAAAAATCTATTAAAAACAAGTTTTTAGCTATTATTTAGCTATTATTTAGCTATTTTTCTTGAAAAAAGAAAGAAAATTAAAAAGAAATAAGATAAGAAATGGAAAGTACATTTGAAAAGAGAAGATTTTAAAGAAAATCTGACACTTTTCTTTGAAAAGAAAGTATGAAAAGTTAGAAAAAATAACGAAAAACAAGTTTTCGATTGAATGAACTTTAAGCTCTAATTTTTGAAACGCAATCTTTCGATTGTATTGTCATTCTTTTTTTTCTTTTTTATTCAAAGAAAACTCGAGAATTGTGGACCAGGAAGTGCATCAGGAAGTGCATCAGGAAGTGCACCAAGAAGTGCATCAGGAAGTGCATCAGGAAGTGCACCAGGAGGTGCACCAGGAAGTCCATCAGGAAGTGCATCAGGAAGTGCACCAGGAGGTGCACCAGGAAGTCCACCAGGAAGTGCACCAGGAGGTGCACCAGGAAGTCCATCAGGAAGTGCATCAGGAAGTGCACCAGGAGGTGCACCAGGAAGTCCACCAGGAAGTGCACCAGGAGGTGCACCAGGAAGTCCATCAGGAAGTGCATCAGGAAGTGCATCAGGAAGTGCACCAGGAGGTGCACCAGGAAGTCCACCAGGAAGTCCACCAGGAAGTGCACCAAGAAGTGCATCAGGAAGTGCATCAGGAAGTGCACCAGGAGGTGCACCAGGAAGTCCACCAGGAAGTCCACCAGGAAGTTTGTGTTTGCAGAAATTAAGCACATAGCTTCAGCTAATGAAAACAAGACATTAATCACTGTATTGGTTTTCGAATTCGCCTGTGAACGAATGAGATCTTTTACGTGAAGGCAAGACTTGTTCGTCTTCCGTTAACCCTTGATCTTCATCTGATGCATCCTTCATCTCCATCTGTCTTCATCTTCATCAGAAATTGAGCCCAAAATCGGCTGATGAAATGAAGACATCACTGTATTGATCTTCGAATTCGTCTGTGAGCGAATGAGATCTTTTACGTGAAGGCCTAGGCAAGTTGTTCGTCTTCCGTTAACTCTTCATCTTCATCCTATGCGTCTTTCTTTTCATAATCGAGATCTTCTTTAACAGGAGGGCATTTTGTAAAATAAATATAATATAAAGATGCTAATAATTAGATTTATGAGTAGTTAAATGGTTAGGTAACAGAGAAAGACATTAATGATTGTATTGGTTTTCGAATTCGTCTATGGACGAATGAGATCCTTTACGTGAAGGCCTAGGTAAGTCTTGTTCGTCTTCCATGAACTCTTGATCTTCATCAGATGCGTCCTTCATCTTCACCTGTCTTCATCTTCATCAGAAATTGAGCACAAAATGAAGCTAATGAAATAAAGACATTAATCAGGATCAGGAAGTGCATCAGGAAGTGTGTTTTTACACAAATTAAGCACACAAAAAAGAACCTAAAGAAAGCTAGCGTTAAAAATGAGGTTTTTGAGAAATCAAAGAAGTTTTTTCAAAACAAAAAGCTATCGTTTATCGTTTTCGATTCATTTATCCAATTAAATAATCTTCTTAAATTGTTAGAATTGATTAGAAGAAGAAAATTGATACTCGTTTACTGTTTAAACGTTTAAAATGCTCTTTCTCGTACGCTCAATTCCTCATTTTCTCACAAAAAAAGCGTTCTTGCAAAAGAAAATGATGAATTCAGTGCTCCAGAAGGCTGGGTTTGCAAATTTTCAGCATAAAGTACGCCAAAAGGGGATAAAGATGAGATAAAAATTGTTGAAAGAAAAGAAAACTCGTTTAAGATGGATAGAATACAGATTTTCTCATTGAAACTGTTTCGATTTCACTCTGTCATTCAAAAAAAGAGAGAAAAACTGCGATTTCCTTGCTTTCACTACAACAACTACAAGAATATAGGAAATCCAGCACAGGAAGTACATTTGTTTTCCCAGAAATCTCATTTCAAACCCGGAAATTTCCGTTTCTTTTTCTCATTTTCCCTACATTTTCCCCTTTTCGAACAGATAAAGTACAGATTTTCATTTTTTTTTTATAAAATTTCGACTTTATTTCAAAAGAGGAACTTTTTTTTTGGTTTCTAGTAGATTTATTGAATGAATTGAAAGTTTTCACGAAAAAAAAAATTGTAATTCAACGACTTGAAAGCTTAGGAAACAAATTTTTAAATAAACTTTTACGATATTCAGTTAAAATATCCTTTAATTGGATAAAATTTCAATCCAATTGACAAGGAAGTTTCGCCCATTTATCACCTGCTTTTAAAACGTGGCCTAGCACATATAGACGAGTTTTTTTTTTGCGCTGATTCCGAATCTGTACTCTGTAAAGCTGTAAAATCCTCTGAGGCCCTCTGAGGCCAGAAAAAGTGGTTTTAAAATTGACTAAAAAATCGTATTTCCGCAAATAAGACACCGCCTATAAGAAGGAAATTTAAGGAAGAGAAATACCGTCTTTTCTGGCTAAATAGCCAAATCTGGCTTCGCACGTTTCTGGTATTCAAATTTTATTGCCAATACTGTAGTTAATCTGTTACCGTATTCTCTCTAATAGTAGTGCACCGCGCCGAGCCGAGTTGGTCACGATTTTACGGTTTCCAATTTTTCCCAGAAGCTCAACACTCTAATCCCCACTAGATCTCATCGTCAGCTACATTTTCCACATCGATAGGTTCTGATAAGCGGTTCTCGAGATTTCGAGTAATTTAGACGACGATCACGGTGCACTACTATTAGAGAGAATACGGTGAGATCAAATGGTGTAGTATTAGTGCGCTACGGCCAGATTTTTGCATCCTTCGTTCGGATCCGGGTGCAACTTCTCCTTTTTGGTTTTTTAAAAACAATTTCTAACACTTTTTTATTTTAGTATTTTGAATATGTATAAGGCGAGCCAACCTTCTAACTGGTCCGGAGTCGATTTGAGGACAGATTTGGAATCAGCGCGAAAAACTAGTCTAAATGTGCTAGGCCACGTTTTAAAAGCTGGTGGTAATTTGACGAACCTCACCTGTAAGGCGATTCTGTTTGTCAATCGCTTTTCGGGCTACAGTACGGTTAAAAATATTCAATCAAAATACTGAACATTTTTTGGTGAAATTAGATCTAAAATTTGAAGTTTCAGTGTTGTAAAAAAGTTTAGTCGTCATGTAAAATCTACACGATTTCCCGGAAAAGAAACTGAAAAAGATATTCAATCAAAGGAAAACTCACGGCAAGAGCTCAGAAAGTACATGTAGTGAAATCTCAGCAAATCCGTTTTCTAAGATGTTTTCTAAAATGGCATCTATTTTTAAAAATAGATCTTTGACCCCTAAGGGATTTGGATCTGGAGATTTTCGATTTGAACCCCCAACCTTTCGATCTTTCGATCGCTCTACTATTGCGCCAAGGAGTCACGAGATGGGCCAAGCGAATGACAATTTTATTCTCATTAGAACACTAATAGTAAGGGTGATTTATTGGATAGCCCTATTCCACCAACAATTACAACTCTTGGCCTCAATATTACCGGCATATCAATCTTCTATAACTTCTATTTTATAAGAACAAAATCAAATTTGCACAGTTGCGATAATTTGGATTTTGAGAGGATTATTGACCGTAGATCTGCAAGTTGGTTAACTTTTCAGGATTGTCCAGCAAATTCATAAAGCTTAAACGGGAAAGAAGAGAAGAGCCTGGGAATTTATTGTTCTTATGAATTCAGGGTCGAGAATCTTTCAGCGAGGCTCTAGAACCTGTTAATTTTGCAAATCCAGCTCAGAAGCCAGGCCAAGTCCAACTCCAAGTCCAACTGGGTATAGTGCGGCAATCCCCCTTCCCCACCCACCCAAAAGTGGGTAGACACTCCCTTCCCACTCTTGGGTAGGGGGAAGGGGGTCAGGTTTGCTTGGAATCTTTATAAAGAATCTGTTTCATCAAAATGCCCTCCTGTTAAAGAAGATCTCGATTATCAAAAATAAGACGCATCGGATGAATTTCAAGAGTTAACGGAACACGAACAAGACTTACCTAGGCCTTCACGTAAAAGATCTCATTCGTTCACAGACGAATTCGAAAACCAATACAGTGATTAATGTCTTTATTTGTGAACTAATCATTTAACTACTCATAAATCTAATTATAAGCATCTTTCTATGAAATATTTTACATTATTGATCGCTAAATTATATAAATGTTTCAAAAATTTAAAAAGCAAATTTAAATCAAACAATTAAAGTTGTGTTAAAAATTTCGAGCCTTGAAGGAACTATTAGGTTGTCCAATAAGTAATGCGTGTTTTGACACGATTTTCAAAATATCACAAAATTAACAAAAGAGAACTTTATTAATCGATATATTCTCCACAACAATCAACAACATTTCTCCATCGTCCGAGCAAAGAGTGAAGTCCGTCATAATAGAATGAAGCTGGTTTCGATGAGAAGAAATCGTCGAGCCATTTTTGCACCTCGTCAACACTTTTGAACTTGTGTTCTCCAAGAGCGTGCGCCATCGAACGGAACAAATGGAAATCAGATGGAGCCAGGTCTGGACTATACGGCGGATGTGGGACAGTCGACCATCCAAGCTTCTCAATCTTCTCAATCTCAATCTCAAGCAGCTTTATTCGCTTCACTCAATTTGTGGGGAAGCCACTTTCCGCATCGATTAAATTTTCCAATCTCATGGAGATGATTGTCGATTGTTGATTTGGAACAACCAAATAATTCGGCCAACTCACGAGTAGTTTGAGTTGGATCAGACTCAATGGTGTTAAGCAAAGCTTCGTTATCAAAAACGACTGGCCTTCCAGCGCGTCCCTCGTCCTCTAACGACTCGTTTCCGTCTGCAAATCGTTTAAACCAGCGCTGGCACTGGCTGATTGAAATTGAATCCTCTCCAAATGCGGCACAGATAGTTCGATGGCAATCCGCTGCAGTTTTACCTCGTTTGAAATCATACAGCATTGATGCGCGGACAACAAACTTTTTGTCTTTCATCTGCAAAACAACATATCTATTATAAAACAAAGGCAAATGAATAAAATAATATATAAAAATAAACACAAGATGCTGATGATTAAAAAGAGCATATATTTGCTCGAAGCGATTTCGCAATAGTTTCGAAATAAGTAACACGCATTACTTATTGGACAACCTAATATTTTTGACCAAACTTTGTTTTGGAAAAAGTTTTCCAGTAAAAGTAAAGTAAAAGTAAAAGATTTTGAGATCTTTGACTATTTTGAAGCAAAAACCTAACATTTTTACATAATCTATGTGGGAATGTAGAGAAATGTTTCTACTATTTGAAAGTGAAAAAAGATTGTAAAAAACTTGAATTTAAAGAAAGTTATAAGAGTTTTAGTGAAAAAAGAGAAAGAATTTTCCTCTTCGCTAAAAATCGCTTTCCGGCAACTAATTTTTAGTTTTACATGCTTATGAAGATAAAACAAAGCAAAAAAAACCGCATTTTGGGCGTGTCCATTTAACCAAAAAGGCATCAAGTCTTCGCAGAGTTGATCAATTTTGATTTTTTCGGTATCAAAATGACCTTTGCACACGTCCACACAAAAGTTATCGATTTTGAGGGCGCAATCTTTCGACCACGCTGAGAACGAGCCACCGAAAGTTCGTCGCGGCGAGCGAGTTGATTGTAAAAGTGCGGTTTTTTCGATAAAAGGCGATTTTAAAAAAATCGAGTCAAACGGATTTCGATAATTTCTTTACCATTCAGCACAATTTTTTGCGTCGAATGGATATTCAAACGTGAGATTATGATAGAGAACACCATTTCGCGCGGATTTGCGGGGGGCCCTTTCCCTTCCGACTTTTGGGTGGATCGGGAAGGCGGAAGTTGCCGCACTATATCTGTGGGTATAGTAAAGGAAACTAAACTAAACTAGTAAACTAGTTTAAAAGTAGACTTAGTCAAATTATAGAAAAGACTAAAAACCCGTTTCCCAGCCTGTACTGGCTTAAAAATGGCTAAAAATGGCTTTTGAATAAGCTAACTCTAGGCTAAAACCATTAATACTTGAGAAATTGAGTTAACTTTTACAAAAAACAAAATCCATCTGAATCTTTTAACACTTTTACATAGGAAAAATATTAATCGAGGCTAAAAATCAAGCACAACTTCAATACTGAATTCTCATCCATTTTCCAATCCATTCCATAAGGTACTTATAGTGTAAAAGCTGCATGATTGGCGGAAAAAAGCGAAAAGAGGATTTTTTGACACTACAAGGACTTACAAAGTATATTTCATGAATTCTCATCCATTTTCCAATTCGTTTTCAAAAAACGAAGCGAATTGGACCCCTGGGGGACTTGAACCCCCAACCTTTCGATCTGGAGTCCAACGCGCTACCATTGTGCCAAGGAGTCTTCGTGGCCAGTGGGCGAATTGGGGGTTTTATTCTCAGTAAGACAATAAGAATGATGCAATTATTTCATTAATATTTCACTTATTTCACTTACAATTACAATTCTTGATCTTAATCTTACTAGAAGCTATGATAATTTAAACGAAATCCAACTCAAAACTCATATTCGAATCTTTGAGCTGAAGACAGAGCTCAATCTACTATAAATAAAACAGAAAAACGTCTGTTCGTTGACAAAAAGGGGTGGGGCTTAGATTGGAAAGCGCCAAAGTGGAAAACGCGAGCTTTAGTAAGCCTTTTCTATTTGTTATCACAATAAGAGTATTTTAAGATTAGGATTTTAGTTATTAAAGCTATAATTAAGTTCATTTCTGGTACATAACCATCTCTAGATCAAAGGATTATCGGATTAGTTAATCAAACAAAATTAGCTGATGTTGTTATGGCTATAATTAAGTTCATTTCTGGTACATAACCACCTCCAGATCAAGGGATTATCGGATTAGTTAGCCAAACAAAATTACCTATTATGGCGATTGCGATTGAAAAGCTCATGCGAGTTCCATAGTTTCGAAAAATGATGATAGAAGATGAAATTGAAAAGAAAAGACAATCAAAAATTAGCCGAAGAGTTTTTTTGTGGTCCAAATTGAAAGATTAAGTGGTAAATTTAATGAAAAGTTTCAAAAATTGCAAAATCACAGATTCATCAAGTTAGAAATTAAGATTTGCGAAAAACTTCTTCAGCGAGTTTCCCGAAGAGACCGGCTTCTTTACAGAGAATGGCTTTCCCGAATTGAGCGTAGAGTTTCTGGCTAATACCCTGGAAATTCGTCTTTATAAAATGTATTTTAGCATTTAATTTTTATTTTAAAATGCTTCTATAACATTTTGTTCTTTGTTTTCCTTAGATATCGGAGGTTAAAACCGATTTTTGCTTATCAATTATGAAAGAGTACATATTTAGCTCTTTCTTGAAATCTACGCTAGATAACCTTACAAGAATTTACCTACAGATACTGAAAGTTTATTAATACCGTATTTTCTCTAATAGTAGTGCTTTGAGCGTCGCCTAAATTCCTCGAAATCTCGAGAACCGCTTATCAGAACCTATCGATGTGGGATCGGAAAATGTAGCTGACGATGAGATCTAGTGGGGGATTAAAGGGTTGAGCTTCTGCAAAAGCTTGGAAACCGTAAAATAAGCCTCAACTCGGCTCGGTGCTGTGCACTACTATTAGAGAGAATACGGTATATGTTACGGCCGATCTAGACTGATTCTTGAACGAACGTCCGATTTGAGTGAAGTGAGGTCAAACGTTTGATCTAGAATCAAGCCGATCACTCTAAATCTAAGTCTGGATCGGACGTCTGGATCGGATTTTCTCTAATAGTAGTGCACCCGTCTAAATTCCTCAAAATCTCGAGAACCGCTTATCGATGGGGGTCGGAAAATGTAGCTGACGATGAGATCTAGTGGGGGATTTAAGTGTTGAGCTTCTGCAAAAGTTTGGAAACCGTAAAATAGTGATCAACTCGGGGTGCACTACTATTAGAGAGACGATATAAAAATCTCAAGTTCAGATCAGTCAGCTTTTCTTCGAAACACATCAAACCGTTGCCCCGCAGAGCAAGGTCTACGATGTGTCTTTCCCCGACCTTCACAACGATCTCATCTCGATCTGAAGGCCGAAATGCAGAAGGTTTGGAGGTCTAGTCTTAAAACTACCGTATTCTCTCTAATAGTAGTGCACCATGATCGTCGTCTAAATTACTCGAAGGCTCGAAAAGCGCTTATCATAACCTATCGATGTGGGATCGGAAAATGTAGCTGACGATGAGACCTTGTGAGGGATTAGAGTGTTGAGCTTCTGCAGAAACTTGGAAACTGTAAAATAGTCACCAACTCGGCTCGGCGGGGTGCACTACTATTAGATAAAATACGGTAATGATCTCTTTTATGAGTTTGAACATTTCTGCAGAGATTACTTGAGTTGGAGATCATTTTTTAGACATTTTTTAAAGGAATCTCCTTGTTGGAGATCAACAAGGAGATTCCTCGCTTGATCAGAGAACAAGAAAATTCCTCGCTCCTACAAACAACGAACTAGTAAATTTACATGAAATTTTCTCTCTCTATCCCTTTTTATCATTAAAAGTTTAACTAGAATTATTTTTATCTAAATAAGCAATTCAGTAAAGAAAAACAAGCTGTTTTAGAGGTGATTTAGAGGTGATTTTTTTGAATAACAAAACAGGGTTTTCATTTCATTTCAAGAAAATCAAAGTTCACAGTCAAATCAAGCTAAAAACTCTCAATTATTGGACCTTTTTCTGGTATAGATTGCACTATTAGATTCGCTACTGATTGAGCATATATGACTTAATTGTTTACCTGCAAATAACTTGGATGTGCCATCGCTTCAGTGAACTTCTCGATCACTATCGTCTCGTCAACAAACTTCGACTTTTGATACTACAAATTTTTCTGATTGAGAGGAAAATGCCCCTACTCACTTCAAACAGCATACTACAGTATTTAGAGAAAGCTTTTCGCATCACCGTGGCGCTTTGATCGGTGAAGCCGATTGCTGGAATTGAATGTTGTTCTTGTTTTGCACTTTCAATTTTCAATTCACATTTGCTTTTTGCATCCCCTTTACGGCGGCGCGCTCGAAAATTTCCCGAAGACACTTTTAGAGGTCTCGGGCTTAATGCTAACCTCAAACTTGGGTAATTAAACCAGAGTGAGAGGTCTCTGTCACGCTATCTGTTAAGGCCGTGCGTCAGATGTCGTTTTTCCCACGAGATAGGCAAAGGGTACAAACATCCACGTCGTCTTGGGATAAAGTCTTGGGATCTCTTTGATGATAAAGGATCTCTCTTCCTTTTACTATTTCAACCGTCTCTCAGTGCTGAATGTTCGGTGATGATCGACCACGCTGAAAGAACGGCTGAAAGAACATCCCGTCCGATCTGCGAGGTTAAGCAACATTGTCCTAGGTTAGCACTTAGATTGGACACGGCTTTCCTCGTGTTGTAATCTTTAGCTTTCTGTCGTTGGGGTAAATGATGGTCTTAGTCAGAGGCCAGAAGCGATATTGAACGAGGCAAGGGGAGGGTATCTATCGGGGAGGCGTGCGATTGTTCGCGTGCACAAAGAACACCTGGGAAATCGGAATTTAGTCTTCAGTCAGTCATCTTCAGTCAGCCCTAATCTCTTTCAAACTCACTTGATGAGAACAAAATGATATTCCTGAGCAAAACGAATTCCTCATCACAAATATTGGCTCGTTTCATTGAGGGAATGATCGTGGAAAGCCCGAATTCGATCAAAAAACCCATCGAGTTCGCCAAACTGGAAATAGAGATTTTGCACTTTGTTAAAAGTAGCTTTTTCTAGATTTCTCACAATTGATCAAGTTAACCAACTCTTTATATAATAGTAGATCATGTTTGGAGACTCGTGTGCCAAGAAGAACAAGGAAACCGTCATAGTTGTACTTGTAAGTGTAGTAGAAATCGATGAAGATGATTTGACGGAGATATTGCTGACAACAGAGATTCACCTAAATGGAGAAATTCTAATAGTTAGAGCTGATAAAATATTAGACGTGATATCAGTTAGGTCTGACGTCCAAAGCTTAACTTAGAACTACCCTAGCTGCTTCAAAGGCTAGTCGGGCAGGCCTGGTTTGATCAGTGGCCATATGGGTCAGACCTGATCTGGCTTATGGCTCAGGCTCAGGCTTAGGCTCAGGCTCAGACTTAGGCTTAGGCTTAGGCTTAGGCTTAGGCTTAGGCTTAGGTTCAGGCTCAGGCTCAGGCTTAGGTTCAGGCTCAGGCACAGGCTTAGGCTCAGGCTCAGGCTCAGGCTCAGGCTTAGGCTTAGGCTTAGGCTTAGGTTTAGGCTTAGGCTTAGGCTTAGGTTTAGGCTCAAGCTCAGGCTCAGGCTCAGGCGTAGGCTTAGGCTTAGGCTTAGGCTCAGGCTCAGGCTTAGGCTTAGGCTTAGGCTTAGGACACGAATCAAACCAGGCTCATGACCAGACTCAAAGCTAGGTCAGTTTAAAACGTCACTTGCACAATTTTCTGAGCTTGATCTAATTCCAGACCAGATCAAATCAGATCTAATTCCAGAACAAATCAAAAACAAGAGCTCTGAGTCTAAACCGGTCAATCACAGCTTGCTTACGTTTGCTTACGTCCCTAATTCCTCAAATTCCTCCACCAACCCGATCCACTTCATTTAGCTGCCAGAATTCTGGAATCGATCGAATCCAATCCGAGATGAGCACAAGTGAGCGAGCGAATGTCCGTCCGCCCATTGATTGACGCAAGTTTTCAGGCACTTGATGATTAGTGGAGAGATGGAAACCAACCTAAGCAAAAGGATTAGATTAGAACATATCAAGTTGGCCGAAAGTCCCCTTTTTCCAATAGTTTAATAGATAAGTCTTGTATTCCAAAATCAAATCTCCTAATAGTCTTGGTCTAACTCACCGGCACTCTGGCGCAAATCGTTGTCGGATTGTTGAGCACATCTCGCATTGAGCAGTTCAACTTGTATTTAAAATCAAACTTCACCGAGGTGCAGGGTTGATCGTTTTGAAGAAATCTGGAAAATTTGAGCAAATTCTGGGTTTTCTTTTGTTGCATAAAGTACTATGAGATCTATAGGGCGTCCGGAAAAAAAAGTGGTCATCGATTTGAATCTAGAAAAATTTTCTCGTTGATTTTTCAAGGCTGTCATCGTGGTGTCAGAATTGGTTTTGCCTCAGGCGCCACACAAAAAGATTAAGTTCATTTTTTTTGGGGTGAATTGGAGTCATGCATGGGCTGGGGAGCTCAAAATTCATGTAAAACACACTTTTGAATTCCTCTTTTTCACCACAAATCTTTCTGCCTTTTTTTCTATATTTTTTGCTTTTTTTAATTTTCTAGCCACAATTTCAGTTTGTATTTTTGGATTGATTTTTTCAAAAATCTTGAAAATATGGTTAATTTTGAAAAAATCCTTTTGCTGCTTTCCCAGGACCGATTTTCAAGATCCTAATATCAAAACAAATTTATAGAGACAAAAAGTAGAAAGGTGAGGCATTCAGATTATAAGATTTAAGCGCTGCCGAATGCGCTACGGGAGCAGCTTGTTCGCTGACAAAAAGAGAGAAATAGAGGAATTCAAGAGTTATGTTTTTCATGTATACATGGATTTTGAGCTCCCCAGCCCATACATGACCCCAATTCACCCCAAAAAAAATGAACTTGATCTTGTTATGTGGCGCCTGAGGCAAAACCAATTCTGACACCACAATAAGCCTTGAAAAATCAACGAGAAAATTTTTCTAGATTCAAATCGATGACTACTTTTTTCCGAACAGCATTTTTGTAAGCTTTCCTTTTCTCCATCCAGCTCTTCCACAAACCTATCCAATTCCAAAAGTCCTTTCAAATCCCAAATCGTTTTAGGAACAATAATAGAAACAAGATAGAAAGATTTGTGGTAAAATAGAGGAATTCAAAAGTTTCTAAATGGATTTTGAGCTTCCCGACTGATGCATGACCCCCATATTCACAAAATCATCAAAGAAATGAACTTGATCTTGTTGTGTCTGAGGCAAAACCAATTCTGACACCACGATGAGCCTTGAAAAATCAACGAGAACATTTTTCCAGACTCAAGTTGATGACTACTTTTTTTCCGAACAGCATTTTTGTAACCTTTCCTTTTCTCCATCCAGCTTTTCCACAAACCTATCCAATTCCACAAGTCCTTTCAAATCCCAAATCGTTTTCAAATCATTCGGAATGCTCGGGGCTTTGAAAATCTTTGCAACGAGTTGGAGTTCTCTCTAAAACAATTGCTGGATTGAAATGATGATGATTAAATGATTGAATGATCCAGGAAATGATTGAGAGCCTTTAACTCGAGTCAATTTTTGATCTTACAGAATCAGGCGACGGGGTGACACGAGTGAAAAACTCGGGCTCGAGTTGCGTTAAAATTCTCCCGTTTTTCTTCAATCGAAAGCCGACATTGGCTCGTTTCTCACGCAATTTGCAACCTTGACGACGTGCTGTGACTAAATATTTCAATATTTATTAGGTTGATGCATAAGTCTTTTCGTTTTTTTCGTACTTCCGCTTAAAACCAACAAATGCGCCAATTAAACTACGGTTGATTTCATTAGAAAAAGCAATTATTTTTCTGCAAAATAACATTAAAACGGGTTTAAAAATATTTAATGCCTGGATTTTCTTGAGAGTATGAAGTCGGGTAGTCAAAAAGGGCTAACTCGATGATGCGGTTTAGACACCTTAGCTAAAGAAAATCTATCTTCGTGTCAATAGATAAAAGATAGAGAAAAAAAAGTTTGATATTTCGCCAAAATTTCAGAGAAATTCATTCAGCCAATTTTTCCGTAGAGTTTTTTATAGATTTTTACGAAAAAGGCGTTTTTCACTCTCGAATTTGCTTGAAAGTGAACCGAAATTCATTTAAAAAGATGCAAATTGAACAAAAAAACACTTTTTTTATAGAGCAAACTATAGATTAATTCGTGAATTTGTTACTTTTTAACAGAAGTACGAAAAAAATGAAAAAGACTTTTGCATCAACCTAATATATAACTATATAACCATTAATAGAACTATTAATATACCTCTTCATTTCCATATCAAGATACCTTTCCCACGAAAATCCTGGTTCTCGCACAATTTTCGATTCTGACATTCAGCCGCTCGAGCGCCAGAAGTGGTGGCTCGCAGGAAGAACACTTTACAACTACTAAAAAGAAAAAGTTAACCTGATTTAAAAAAATAAATAACAACAGTACAGCCGACTCTCAATATAGCCACTTTCTCGATATAATGATTTTTCGATATACCGTATTCTCTCTAATAGTAGTGCACCCCGGCGAGCCGAGTTGGTGACTATTTTACGATTTCCAAGCTTTTGCAGAAGCTCAACACTCTAATCCTCAAAAAGATCTCATCGTCAGCTACATTTTCCGACCCCACATCGATAGGTTCTGATAAGCGCTTTTCGAGATGTCGATCAATTTAGACGACGATCATGGTGCACTACTATTAGAGAAAATACGGTAACTGTTCCATTTCACAATTTCGACAGAATCGTTATATCGAGAGTCGACTGTAATAGATTTTGTGTAAGGTATAAGATAATTTGAAGATCACTTTCAATGTATTGGGTTGGTGAATTGAAAACTGCCGGAAAAAGATACACTTAGTAGTTTCGCTTAAAATGCAAGTTTTGTGAAAATTCGTAAATTTGGCATTTCTTGAAAAACGGTTTTTGAATCGCTCTGAAAATTTGGATATAAGCTTGATTTTTGATTCTCTACAACTTTTCCATTGACACCAAAATGGGTTTCTTTTGAAGAAAGTGCTCAAACTGTGACATATGACAATAGTCGGCAGTTTTCAATTCACCAATCCAATGGTTCACTAGTAGAGCGTTTGTCCCTTTTTTCTGAGACCTATTCTCAAAAAGAACCAGCCTTTACCAATTACCAACACTGACACGCTTTTCAATGCTAGTAGTTTAATATTTTAGGCACATTTAGGTAAATCCAGGTTTTGATTTTAAAAACATCCTCACCATTGGACTCAAATGGGTTTACGATTCATAGAGAATACAAAAAAGTACAAAAATTAGCTTACAAAGATTACTGTAGTTTTTGATATGTTTTAGAAAACGGGTTCAAGTGGATAGACTTTATTTCAAACTCACGTGCAAGTGATCGATCCATAATTGTATGAAGCCGGCTCTCTCCCACAAACTCGACATTTTAAAGAGTCATTCGACTCTTGATTCCTGAAGCTTTTATGTGCTCTTAAAAATGACTCATTCTAAATCTAGCTCTTCAAAATTTCAATCCAAACTCGATACCCTTTTATCCCCGAAATTCCCTGTTCATTTGCATCAAATTCGTCGATTATTTCCACAATTGCGTCTCGAGTTCCATTTTCGATTAAAAGCCTCATTTTCTCATCATTCTTTAATTGAAAGCAATCTAAATCAACCATTCGGGACAGGCTACTTTGCGCCAAATCTTTTGCGCAACTGTGTCATTTGCGCAACTAGGTTTTTTGCGCAACTCGCCATAACTTTCTTCTAAGTAAGCCAATCTTTATGATTTTTGAGTCATTTTGTAGATCTCAATAAGTGTAACAAAATGACACCAAAATCATAAAGATTGGCCGACTTAGAGGAAAGTTATGGCGAGTTGCGCAAAAGACCTAGTTGCGCAAATGACCCAGTTGCGTAAATGACCCCGTGGCGCAAATAAAATGGCGGAAATTAGCCTACTCTCTACTATTCTTCAGCAAAACCAAAACACATAACTGGATTTTCATATAAAAATATCCAGGAATGATAATGCGAAATACAGCACTCAAAGCAAAAGTATACTTTGTGCGTTGACAAAACTGGTAAACGCACCCTCGCTGGCACACTCAATTCACCAGTTTTCTCATAGCAAAAGTGCATTTATCAATTTGAAGCATAAAATACGCAAAAGCTCTCACAGTTGGCATGGATACGCAATAAAATTTAAGCTTTCAAAATCGAATTTATAAATCAAACTGGTCAAAAAAGCAAAAAAGCAAAAAAAGCAAAAAAAGCAAAAGAATTTCTGCTAGAGTCTTTTTTGAAAAGATTTCTGATTCATTTTCGAACACCAAAGTCGAGTTTTTGATCAAAAATCGCTCGTTTTCAAGGAATTTTCGTCAGAAAACCGTCAGAAAACAGAAAACGTCAGAAAACCTTAAAATTTCAATTTTTGGGTCAATCCGCACCGAAAATCACAGAAAAATAGGTTATTACTTTGGAAAAAGTTGTTTTTCCCCAAAAATCATCAAAATTATGGGATTTTCGATGAATACGGAAGGAAGGGGGCCCTCATGGTGTATTGGTTAAGTTCTCACTTCCAAACTGAGGGTGTGGGGTTCGGCCCCCCTAGGGTTCTCTTCCCTAGCCCGTGCGCCCAGACTAGAGGTGTCTTCTCTAGAGCTGACTAGAGATCCCTTCTCTAGCGGAGTTCACTCTTCCACTGGGTTGGCCCATTCATGGCCTGAGGTTATTAAAGCAAGAAGCCTATCTTCTATCTATCTTCTTTTCTCCCGCCTCCACATCGCCGAGTAAAATATCTCATCTTTCTCTATGTATTTATGTGTAGATTTGTGTATTGTCTGACTGATTACGCTTTATTTCATGTCCTGAATAAAGTATCAATATATATATATAAATAAAAAAAAGACAAACAAAATTTTCAATTAAATCGAATAATAAAATGGATGACTTTAATTAAAAAGATTTTTGGTTTTTTTGAAGTTAAAGTTGAGTAAAAAAAATGGTTAAAAACTGTGCAAAACTCTTAAAAATTAGTTCATAATATTTGCAACGTTTTTTGGGGATTTGAAACAATCAAAATTCTATTAGATTGACAAGAAAGTTCGTAGAAAAAGTTTCACTGAAATTTCTTAAAAACAAATGTTACAGTATGCTTAAAAGCATGCTGTAACATTAA